TACCTAATTATGTGACAGAGAGAGAACATGCACACCAGTTTGAGGCCGAGAACCAGCCAGCCCTGGCCTGGAGTTGCTCACCCAATCAATGTCTCTTACAGATTCTCTTTCTCTATCAGTCTCAAATGTATGTACTCACAAACCCTTATATATCACTTACTATGTGCGTGGCACTGTTCTATGCACGGATCTTCCTATTTCTAGCTCCCTATTACACGTGAGGGGCCTTCTTCACAAAGAGCTTACATCACTTGTCCAAGGTCACACAGGAAGTGGTAGAACTCGTGTTCAAAGCCAGGCAGCTTGACTTCAGAGTGTGTGCTGTTAATGACTTGACCATGACACCTCTTAGAACAACTGCATTGTGCGTATTTATGGGATGGACACATAGTGAATGGGTAGACTGATGAACTTAAGTGAGTCTCCTTCATGGACTCGAACCCAGAGGAGCATTCCTGTCTTTGACCCTAGCTAGCTGCTCTGCAGAGGGTTTGAGAACACGAGTGGAGAGCTGCCCTCACAGCTAAGTTGGTTACAACGGTGTGCTCTGGAATGGGCTTCAGGTGTGTGTGGCTAGGACTCTGCCTGGGCTGCAGGTGTGGCTCAGTCGCCATGAGGATATGCAGGGTTCTGTGGCATCGTTAGGCCTCTTGTGTTTCAGGGACCAGAATTAGGCTCTTAGATTTCCCAGCTGGCTGTGAGCGTGTGTGTGTGTGTGTGTGTGTGTATGAGTCTCTCTCCATCCCCAGTCTACTGGAGGCTGCGGCCGACTGCTTTCATGACCCCCTGCATGCCCCTGCTGTTTTTATTTGGTCTAGATGACGTGAGGGGCCAGGAAGGAGCCTTCTACCTGGCGCTGCAGCTCTCAGCTCTCCAGCACCAGCTTCCTCACCCTTCCTGGCAACATGCACACATTGTCCAAAGTGCTGTGGGCCTCCCAGGACAGCACTAACTCTGGTAGGTCCTAGGCAGGTGCCATATTGTCCCCAAACTGTCTCTGGAAAAATCCACCACAAGTGTGGTAGGCCTGATGAGTTCCTAGCGACCTTGGGCACTTGCAAATGCCCTGCTGTGAACAGATGGTGCATTCTGAGGCCTATCAGAATGATAAGGGCTTCAACAAAGCCCTAGCAATGCTTCCCACTTGCTCCTGAGCCTATCTGAGGGAGGCGCAAATGTTTCCATTTCCTGGCTTAGAAAGTCCTCCCCAAAGACAGCTCCCAAGGTGGCTTGAGGCCAATCAGCTTTTTTCTCATCATTTACCAAGGCCAGTGGACACGTAGAGATCCCAGCTTTCCTCTTCTTTCTGAAGCCCCTTGGTTGGGAGGTGGGGAGGAAGCTTGGAGAAGGACACTCACTGTTTTCCCCCTTCCTAGAAGTGAGGGCAAGTTCAATGCAGCTCTTCTCCGTGCTGTTCAAACACACTGGAGCCGCCCTGGCTTCTCCTAAATGGGAATCCACTTAGTTCAGCCCTGACCTTTCTTCCAGCTGATTGCTGGGCTAGAAATAAAAGGAAGCCAGACCTGACGCCTCCACAACCCTCCCGGAACACCATCAGGTAGCTGCCCGATGACGGAGACCGCCCGCTGGGGTTCTTGCAGACAGGCACGGTGCTCTTGAAATCCATTGCTTTAGTCTGAGATGGAGATATTTTTAGGCTGAATCTGGGCTTCCTTTGCTTCCTCCCTCTGATGCTAAGTGGCCATCTGCATCTCCCAGACAACCTCCCTAAGCAGCATACTAGAAAATTGGGCTGGAAGCAATTGGTATTAAATATAGAATATCGAGCTGCTGCAGAAGGTCGAGTTTGCCCGGCTTGTTAAAAGCAAGAAAGGGGCACTAGAGATCCAGAACCTTGGGCCTGGGTCCCTCTGGGGAGACCTCTAAGGTTCACTCAAACAGAGCATGTTCTTTTCTTTGAAGGACTGAGCTGTAGAAACTCCTAAAAGTGATCAGAGTCCAGAAGGACGCTTTGTCCAGTGGAGGGGGAGTTGTAACATTCTACCCACCCCCCTACATTCCCCAGAGAGGTGGATAGCCAGCAAGGGTGGCTTGTGTGAGGTGTGAGGGGCTCTGACTGCCAGCTCGCCACGTCCCAAGGTTTATCTCCCTCCATGCAGTTAGCTCCCATCAGCTCCCAGCTTGCCCTACATCCAAAGGAAAGCTCACCTCTCAGTCCCAGACACACCTAACCAAGGGTCTTTCTCACCCAAGACCCTGAGTTAAAAAGGCGGAGAGAAGTCCTGGGAATGCATTGACAATTCTAATTTTTAAGCTGCTGGAACTTCTGTGCCGAGCAGTGCTATCTACCTCTGTTAAACTGGGTTGGGCCACAGTGTTCCTGCAATAGTGTTAAATTTGTTTTAATGCTTTAATCTGAAGGGAGAACATTGTGCTGTAGATAAAATGGTGGACATCGCAAAATAAATGAATAAATAAATAGAAAGTAATGAAGTGCGTGGGTCCCACAGCATCGTGTGCTGAGTATGCCTCCGCTCCGTTATTAGCTGTGTGATCACAGAAACCACATCTGGTGCCCAGTAGGGTTTGCTCCATAAATGCATAACTCGATTTGCATCTCCATCCCCAACATGGGTGCCTCAGGCTCAGGCAATCGCAATAGGATTTGTGTCCAGTAAAGTCAAGTGAGGGGCAGAGGCAACGCTGGCTGTTTCCAGAAGCTGCTAGATGTCGCTGGGTTTCTGTATTTGCAAATAAGACAGGATCAGGCCTGTGGTGTCTCCTCTCCCCTCCACTGTTCAGGCCTGTGCTCGTGGATGTTGGGATGGTCTGGGTCAGGCCCAGAGCAGTTCTTTCAGGAATAGGCCTGACCTGTCTAGGAGTATTAACCGCATGACCTTGATAGGTTGCTGCCCCTCACTGATCTCAGTTCCACATGATGAACGGCGATGACAACATTGCATGCCTGTAGAGCCAGCTTCCTGTGAGCTCATGTGTAGAGGCCTCTCCATCGGCTGGCTTCCTGGGCAGAGTGCTGGCCCGAGTGGAGTGCCACCTCTCTGACAGTCGGCACTCACCAAGCCTTGCAAACCGAGCAGGTGGGGCTTGTGCTGGGAAGTTCATCTGCGAGAAGTTGACTGAACCCCAAGAATGCTCAGAAAGTGTCCAGGAAAAACGATCCCAGGGAAAACCCAAAAGGCCAGGAGAAAGGTCACAAGGTAAGGAGTAGAGAGAGAAAACATAAGCCCCGGATTTGGCGTGGGATGGAGGGATCTGTTCATACTTCTTGCCTAGAGAACGTGGCCTCTCCAGAAAGTGGCCTGGGGTTGGGAAATGCCAGCAGCCTGGAGCCCCACTACTGCTCTCTCACTGCAAACCTGCCTACTTCCCTCCCTTGGGTCAGCTCCATTCCAAGAACATTTTGTAGGATTATTTTTGAGTGCCACAATTCCAGATTTATTCCGTCAGATTTAGTCTTGTCAGAATGAAAATACCTTTGAGGAAGTTATGAGGTAAATTATAGTCATTTACATGTTAGTATAAATGCATTTAATCATTTTGTAAAACTGTTCAATCAGATTTTTGTGTTACCAGTCGTGCCCCCTCCCCCCAATCTGGAAACATTCAAGTCCACTCTCCCAGCTTTCCAAGAACATTTATTGGTGCCTGCATTTGGCCAAGCCCTGTGATGGGCCCCAGTCCCGAGGGGAGTTAGCCATGGCTCCTGCTTGCTGGGAGCCCCATTTCACAGTCAGTGCCAGCAGAGCTGCCTGCACAAGGAGCTAGGCAGAAGCACAGCCTGCAACGTGCCTCCTACCCTCACTAGGCCCCTGCCATTCACATGGTATTTTATTTGATTTTTAGATTCTTTTTAAAGATTATTTAATTTTATTCATTTTAAAATTTGCTATAGGGCATATGAACTCACAAGAGAGAGACAGAGACAGAGAGACAGAGATAAAGTGAGAACACAAGCCCCTAGGCCTGGGACTTGAATTGTGGTTGGTCATGTGGAAGTCCAGTGTCTTAACCATTGCTCCACCTGCTGGCCCTCACAATGTACTTTGTGTGTGTGTGTGTGTGTGTGTGTTTCCTCCAGTGGCAAAACCCAATGGAGGCTGGAGAACTGGGGCATGGAGCCCACACTGTTTTAAATGAATGGTGCTCTCTGGAGCTCTGAGAGGGCCCCGTATGGGCAGCCTTCGACGGTAGGCAGAACAGATATGGCTTATTACCTGTTGATGATGTAGTGCATAGTATTATCAACTGATTTGATCTGAGAAGTATTTCATGATAGGTAAAGTCTTTTTACAAGAAAAATGAGAAAAAGTGATTGTTTAAAAAATAATTGGAATAATAATAATAATGATCGGAAAAAAAACAGTGAAAAGATATTGAATGACGAAGTGGGGAGTTTAATGTCTCTGTACCGACTGACATGCATGGCAATCCCTTTTGAAAAAGCAATGTAATACACTGTAAAGTTACATGCAATTCAATGTAATATAAACAAGATTATGGTGATATAAATAAAAAATAAATTAAAACAAAAACAAGAGAAGAGAGCGTTTAGGTAAATTGACCAAGGTAACAGGTGGCCCGCACGGTAGCCATCAGCTTTATCCTAGGTAAAGCCAGTCCTGTAAGGGGGCGGTCTTGTTAGCCAGCTCAGGAGGTCAACGCGCAAAGCAACAAGGGAGGCCCGCGGGCTGCACACAGTCGTCCTGAAGTGCCGCGCTGCTCCCAGGTCCATAAGGACACGGGGAGGCTTGCTTTCCAGATGCCTAGACCGTGGAGCTGGAGACCCAGCCCTTGCCGCTCCCTTGACACCAGGACGCCGACGCCGGGTTTTTCATCTCGCAGATCCACCACGCCCGGCTTCATCAACCCTCCGACCTGCGCTAGTGAGAGTGGGAGCGCCAGGCCGCTCCCTGCGCCCTGGGCCAGGCTTCAGCCCACGTGCGCCGACTGCAGCCGCGGTGACAGCCGTCCCC